TGCCCCCTCCCCTGGCAGACCCTCGCCCCTCCTCCCCCTTCCCTGCCCAAGCTCTCCTGCCTCCCACAGCAACACTAGTCTGGGGGTGTTTTATTTATTATTTATTACTTTCTAAGCTTTCAGGCAAGTGCTTAACGCGCGCACTCCGAAGGGTCATGCCACCCCACGATCTCACCCTTCCCAGAGGGCCCCGCCGTCTTTCAACCGACTGACATACACTTCCGCGTGTCTAGAGAAGACCTGTTTTGCTACTTTTTGGTGTTTTCAGTTTTAGTATTGACTTCCTTCCAGGAGAGATTCAGAATCAACCTGAGACTTGATTTTTTTTTTTTTCTTTTTAATTTGCTTCTTCGTCCTGATCTCATTGCTAATTCCCTCGCCCTTTCTCCAGGTGTTCGAACAGTAGTTTAAACTCGGGCATCTGAATCACTTGGAGTGTCAAGGTGGGGGCGTGGGGGGCCCTTAAACCTGGATTGTAGGTCCCATGGGTGGTGGGTGTGTTGGATAATGAGGTCTGATGCCCTGAACGCCTACCCAGCTCCCAGGTGATGCTGATGCCGAGGCTGCTGGTCCAAGAACCCTGCTCTTGTTCCTTTCAAAAGCAGATTCAAGATGATTCAGGAGATCTGCCCATGGTGTGTCCAAAGAGCTCTTCCTGAGCCTTTTTTTTTTTTTTTTTTTGCTTTAAACGATGGTAAAATGCACGAAAATGTGCCACCTCCAACTGCCTCTAAGTGCATCGCCAGGCACGCGCCACGCCAATGTGGCACCCGCCTCCCACCACCTGCTCCCCAGAACTTTCCATCTCCCTTACAGACTGGGAGCCTCGTCCGCAGGGAAGCACGGACTCCTCGCCCTGCCCCACCCCTGGCTCCTCACCACCCGCCTTCTGTTCCTGTGGACGGACGCACCTCTGGGGACCTCATGTAGTGGGGGGGGTCACAAAGTGGGACGGTCCTTTTCTGTTCTTGTGTCCGCTTCTGTCAAATACAAGAACAGGGACGCCCAGGCCCATCCATATCAGAACAGGTGTCAGATTGTGTTTCTTTCCAAGGCTGGATAATATTCCAGATGGACACACGTGTTTCTCCTTCACCTTGATTCCCTTGAGCCTTCGGACCACCCACGGCTGTCTTCAACGGGGCACAGCCAGGCTAAGCTGGGGATTCCCTTTGCCACATCCCGAATTCTGTTCTCCATCCTTCCTTTCTTGACTTGTGTCCTGTTTTGAGGAGAACATTTCAGAAACATCTTTGTAAATCTCCAGGTGTACCCAGACCCGCCTCCATTTTCCCCTGACTTATCGCCTCATTGCCAAGCACCCCACAGTCCGAGTCAGACAGGCTTGAAACATCCCAGGTTCAACTCACTAGCTGGGCTTCAGATCACTATCCCCCCCCCGCAGAAATCACTTTAGTCACGTAATAAACCTAATACTACCAACGTTTATTATCCCCGGATCGTGACTCCTTGGGAATTAGTAAATCTTCCCAGCCATGTCATTAATAAATTCACCATTGTAAACCAGTCAGACGGAGTTAATACTACCATTCTTTTTGTTTGTTTGTTTATTTACTTTTGGAGAGATGAGTGTGAGCTGGGAGGGGTAGAGAGAGAGAGAGAAAGACACAGAATCTGAAGAGGCCCAGGCTCCCAGCTGTCAGCACAGAGCCTGACTGGGCTTGAGCTCACAGCCAGTAGATCACACTGGCCAAGTCAGACGCCCAACGGATTGAGCCACCCAGGCGCCCCTAGTCATTCTTCATACACTGGCACAGCATGGTAATACCTCCTTGTGCTATGGCTTCAGCTTGAGCTCCTGTTTTCGTGAACGAAATAACGGTTCCATCTGTCAGATCAATACTATCAAATATGTATTTTATTCTAGTGTTCTGTCTTATATACTGGGAATGTATTAGTGGGTAAAAAAAGAAACAAAACAAGTAAACAAGAAGCCAGGTCCCTCATCCATTTATTCCATGTAGAGGCTTTAGCGCCTGCAGCCTGGCTTTTTGGTCATGTTGTCACTTATAATCCTTACTACCATTATAGTTGTACGTGATGTCATAGCTGCTATATAGGCGATATGCAGGCGTTGACACCATATACATCATAATACCGCAATTCTCAACAATGGTATTGGTGTCTATCTCATCAATCAAGATCATTTATACACTGCACAGAACACAAATCCTCAACCCATTTATTATGCCATTAGAACTCCTACTTAGGGACAAAAAGCGTATGCCGTTAAGTGTCACCCTGCAATATGGCAGGTAGATACCTTCTGATTAATCGTGACATGACTCGCTTATCACCTTATAGGATTTAGGCACAGGATTTCGCTGAGGGCAAGCTTGCTGCCCTCCACCCCCCGGGCGCTTGGGGCGCTCTCGCGTGGAGACGCACGCGGGCCCACCCCGAGCCTCGATTGAGGCGCGCGTTGCTGCCACGGCGTACGCTTCGGCCTCCGGCCCGCCCCCTCGCTCCCTGGGCCTGGCCCTCCTCCCGCCCTCCGCCGGCGGCGGTTGTTGTTCGGCGGCGGGCGGAGGGAGGGGGCCGGGCCCAGGGAGCGGGGGGCGGGCCCGGAGGCGGGGCCGGCGTGCGCCGTGGCGCAGCGCGCGCGCCTCCAATCGGGGCTCGGGGGTGGGCCCGCGTGCGTCTCCGCGCCTCGAGCGCCCCCAAGCGCCCGGGGGGTGGAAGGGCAGCGGCTTGCCCTCGGCTTAATCCTATTGCCCTAATCCTCTCACAGGTGATAAACACGAGTCATGTCCACGATTAATCAAGTATCTACCGCCATATTGCAGGTGACACTTATGGCATACGCTTTGTCCTAAGTAGGAATTCTAATGGCATAATAAATGAGTTTGATTTGTGTTATATGCACAGTGTATAAATGATGCGGTATTGAGATAGACATACCAATACCATTGTTAAACAAAGTACATTATTATGATGTATATAGTGTCAACATATAACATGCACGTATCATATATATAACGTATGACATCACGTACAACATAATGGTAAGTAAGTTATAAGTGACAACATGACCAAAAGCCAGGCTGGGCGCTAAAGCCTCTGCATGCGATGCGTAGTTGGGGACCTATTTCTTGTTTACTTGTTTGTTTCTTTTTACTGCTAATACGTTCCCAGTACCTAACATAGAACAGAACACCTAGAATAAAATACATATTTGATAGTATTGATCAACCAGATGGGAACCGTTATTTCCGTTTTACGCACAAGAAAACAGGAGCTCAGAAAGCTGAAGCCACTTGCTTGGAATCACAAAGAATCATTACCATGCTGTGCCAGTGTATGAAGAATGACTAGGGGCGCCTGGGTGGCTCAATCCGTTGGGCGTCTGACTTCGGCTCGGGTCATGATCTCGCAGCTTGTGAGCTCAAGCCCCGAGTCAGGCTCTGTGCTGACAGCTGGGAGCCTGGAGCCTCTT